TATATATATATATATGAAGTAGAGAGTTCTGTAATGCTGCGCAAAAAACGGCAAATTTTCGGTAGAAAACCTCCTATTTCAGGACCCTAGAAACGAAAAAGTCGATAAATCCACTTGCCAAATTTAGGGGGGGGGGGTCCTCTAGCATGTGTCGTAGCGAGAATCCGTTTTGTGAGTCCATGATACGAAAAAGCGAATGGTGGTAAAACGTCCGTCCGTGTTGTCTGATTGTCTGTCTACCAGTCCAGCTGTCCTACTATCTGTCTATCTGTATGTATATGTCTTTTTATCAGCTTTTATATATGTCTACCTGTCTAACTATCTGTCTGTCTATCAATTTCTTTTCTTTTAAGAAATCTGTTCCTTAAAGATAGATTTTGAAATAAGATCAGTTTTTCGAAAATTTGACTACTTTCCGCGTAATTATGGGTAAACGTACGGGCGAGAAAGTGCTGCTTTAGCACCACTCCATTTCATCATTTTTCTGTACGGAAAATAATGGTAAAGGATGGTCGTTTCTACGGGATTTTGTTTCCGTATCAAAACTCGATGAACGAGATGTACTGTTTTACACAGCCATTTTGTTTTCTATACAGGTAAATATTTTCTCTGGACGCCACAAAAAGCGCTGAAAATCAAGTAGTTGTACATCGCATATGTGATTAAAAATTAACATAGGTTATGTTAGGACTGAGCACAGAACGAGGCGACCTTAGATCACAGTACACGTATTATTTCTCAACATACTATTCACTTCACATTGCAGTTAAATACAGAATGCTCTAGAAACTACACAAGAGGAATAAATTGCATCACACGCATAACAAACACGGGAAAGTTCCGTAAAGTGACACCAGGAGCTTGTTAGTGAAACTGGAGGAAATCTGTACCGAAAATTAAAGCATGCGTAATTTTTCTGTACAAATTACATTTCATATGGGCCTTCATTTTTTGGTATCGATGAAAAAAATGAAAAAAGGATCGTAAAAGACGGGCTTTGGGCACGTGATCACAGTTATGGTTTACGTTTACCTTCCAATGCATAAACGATACCCGAATGAATGGTCGTACATGATTTTAGATGCAATTGTGTTCAGATGAGATACTTGAACGAAAGTCAGAACCACAAGGTGAAGGTATCCATGTCTACACGGGACACGAATCCTCATGCGTTCGTAGGTTTCCGCGGCCGGAGTCAATGCATTCGTGGCTACCCGGCATGAGCCGCGTCTGGGTCAATTGTACTGACGTTTCGGCCATCTTTCCGTGGCCTTCGTCGGAGCTACTTGTATACTGCTCAAATCCTCATCTTCGCCTCCAGTTAAGAGGATTAGGTTAAGAAGTCCGTGTAGAGTAAAATATGTCTGAGCGCCGAATAAACGTCTCTGCTCACCATTAAACTGCTCTCTTGCAGAAATAGTATTTTTAAGATAAAACATCACTTTTCTTGGACACCGACGATGTATCACATCATTATAGAGATTATTTTTTCAAACACTTTTTCTTTTAATTTCAACTAGTCAATAATATTTCAAATTTTTGTTTTGATTAGCAGCCAGAACTGTGCTGAAAGCAGTATGGAGTAACATTAAAATTTGCCAAGTTTATGGATGACATTAAATAAAGAAATCCGTCAAACCTCATTTTAATTTATAATTACAAATACAACAACATTGCTCTTGAACATTTGATATATTGCATTCAGTGGTAGTGGTCAACTAGTTGTTAGATCGAGTTAAATACTACAAAATGTTGTGTATTATCATGGTCTAATAATAATATAATAATAATAGTAATAATAATAATAATTCAGAACAAATAATAAACATTTTGGAAGTTAAGAAAATATAAGCTCCTTTATTTCAACTTATCGATGAAACATCACTAGGGAAAGAAGGTAAAAATGTCGCTCCATTTCACAGAGCAATTCCACTAACAGCCCAATGGCATAATTTCTTACTTACTTTGTAGTATCCCAAACCGGCTATACGTGTGTAGTCTGATGGAACAGGCCACTTTTTCACCTCATGCAACGCTGTGAATAAGGGCTCAGGAAGCTTTGGAGGTGCTGGGCCACTGCTACTCACTGGAAGAGAATCCAATCGAGGAAAAGCAGAGATATTGCATTTCACGCTCAACGCAAGCAAGCAATGGACTTATACGGTGAGCCTGGCCTGTGATACACTGCGCACTACACTATATAAGTGATCAAGACTATAACAAGAATTGTGTTTTTCAAAGTACTTACGACAATTTGTGATATAAGTGACGAAATTGTCGAGTTGGAATGCAATGCTCTTTATGTGTCACTGATTAAAAATAAATATTGTCGTACTACATGTGTGTAAATTATACAGTAATTAGCAGCTAATACTAGAGTCTGACAATTGAACCAATAAGGAAACGCTTCTAGAAACTGCAATAAGTGAAGTTCCCTTCCATTGTCTAATTAAACACGAATCTTCGTATTTGGCGTAACAGCACTGTCTGTAACATTTTGTTACTGGTGCGAGATACGTGACTGATTTCTTTTGCAATAAGATGCGTCAATTCTGTTGCGCCGGAATTAAGGCTTATTGAAATTGAATATAGTTAAAAGACGTACCGCTTATTCCTGAGGTCATTTCTATCCAACTGCCCTTCAATCCGTCGTTTGGATCTCCAGTTTCAGTGATCTTTACGTCTACTCCCATCATAGGCTTCTCTTTCCATGACACATTTCCAGCGGATTTCACCTACAAAAACCGAGAAAGTCACAGTAAATGTTACCTCTCTTCTCAACGACGACCACATGCGGTGACTTACATAGTGGAACTTCGATCACAAACAATTATAATCGAATATATTGAATTTAGATTCGAGATTCCGAGATAAATATCACCGTATTAATAAATTCGTCATTTAGACAGACTAATTAATTGATAAATCTGTATTCTTCCGTACAACGGTCGCATGCATTTAATTAATTAAACACAAAAATATATTTAGAAAGTGACTCATTGCGTATAAAAATAAATCGGTGTAATTAATGAATTTGGTGCTTTCATTTCGTTCGTTGCTACTTCAATTTGTTCCTTACATACCAAAAAGTTCCAGATGCCAGATTTTTGACGCTGAGCCGAATAACCAAACGCCAACGTGTGCAAGTTTTTTCCTTGCGTCTCTGCAATCAGAGCACGCGCTGCCACTCCTAAGAGAACTGTCATTACCACTGTCGTCCGCATGACCTAAAGAAAAGAAGAAATTCAACTTCTTGATTTGACATAAAGATCAGAAATGAAAAATTGCCACTGGGCAATATCACGCTACAATATTTTCTAAATACTACGTGAATAGTACATGAGAAAGCAAAAATGTGAGTCTAACTTCAGTGGAACTTCTTCAGCTGAGGATGCCTCAAATATTAGAATATAATTCTTAGGCGCTGATTATATACCCGCCCGGGAGCCAGGGGTGGCCTGAGTCAACCTTACGGAGTGACGGAGACGCACGGTATACACTTGGAGTTGCTGCCATCCCCAAGTGAGTTTGGTCATCCCTACAGTACAGAGTTCACGCCGGGGAGGCGCTCAGCGTAGGCGTCAGTATGCCCTGTGTGTCACTGTGCCCTCGCTAAGGGATGACACACCGCGCTGTTGTTGCGTAGGCTTCCGCGGCCGGAGTTTATGTTGTCTAGGCTATCCGGGAGGAGCCGCGTCAATGTCATGGTGTGTATGTATATATATACCACACTCATAAATATTCATTTTAATATTATTATTTTTAATATATTTATGTTACTTTACTTTAAATTGCTTTCTTTAATTGTGTTAAAGGTAAAAAGAACTAATTTCCCAAAAGTCTCCCAAAAATTAGGATTTTTTCAATTTTCGAAAACTCAGGGATTTTAACCAACATGACACCTGCTCCATTTTCTTAAACCTTCTTCATACTATCAAACAACAATATTTAAACGATATAACCGATATAAACGATGGCGCCCTTTTTTTAAAACTTTTGCAAATTTCACAGGAGCTTCATGTAAATACTCCCCCAAATTAAAATATCAATTTGAAAA